TGTTTGGGAAATTTTCAGCTATTACTTCTCTAAATATCCTCTTGACATCCTTTATGTTGTCTTATGTTTTCATTTAACCCTATCAATCTTATGTTGTTTTTCTTTACACCATCTTGCAACTGTTGAATTATTATTTCCTGATTCCTTGTTATTTTTAAAAGATCTTTCCTTTCCTGTTCATTAGCTGCAATCTTGTCTTTGAGGTCTGAAATTCTATCTTCACTTTCATTGAGATGTTTTTTACAACTTTCAATGGAATTTTTGATTTCCTGTTATGTCTCTTTGCACCTGCTTCATGTATTCTGTTTGTTTCTTATATTGTTCATCCAGGGATTCTATCTTTTTGTTTAGTTCCTCAAATTTTTTAACGGTCTCTTCTTTAGATATGTTCAGCATCTCCTTCATTTCTTTTATCATTTCTTCTTTTACTTGGGAGATTACTTCTAGTTTGAATTCCTTTAAAGCTTCCCAAAGTTGCTTCTTTATTTCAGTTGCTATTATTTCAGGTATTTCAGGTGTATGAAATATGTTTTCTTCTATTTACATAGCTCCTAAGGTTTCTTGGGATGGGCTAGAGGCTTGAGATTGTATTTTGGTCTTTCATTTTGTCATTTTCCTGTATTTCATGTTTCAAGTGTTATTCCAAGGCTTCCCCTGGGCCTGTTGGAAACCCTCTTCTATGCTCTCAGCTTCTGGGATTCTGGCCACCCAGTTCCCTGGATTGAGAGAGGGTCACTGGAGGTGGGGCAGGCAGGGCCAAGCCCTGCTGTGCTGGTCCAATGCAGCAGGAAGCCGCAAAGTTCCCTGGTCGGAGGGAGCAAGGATCCTCCTCTCAGGGGCTCTGGATGGTGCAGGAACACTCACCCCAGGCCACCCAGTCTCCAGAGTTCAGGGTGCAGGCAGACAGGCCCAATTCCCCGGAGCTGGCCAAGCATGGGGCAGGAAACTGGAAAGTTGGTGTAGGCCGGTCCAAGCCCTACTGAGCTGGTTCAAGTGTATCTCATTGTAGTTTGAATTTTCCCTACCCTAATGGCTAATGATATTGAATATTTTCATACACTTATTAGTCATTTGTATTTCTTTTTTTAACAATGTCTATTCAGATCACTTGCCCATTTTAATTGAGTTACTATTTGATGTTAAATATTTAGTTCTTTATGTATTATGGATATTAACCCTTCTGTCGAATGAATGGCTAGCAGAGATTTTTTCCCACTTTAAGGTTGTCTGTTTATTCTGTTGTTTCTTTTGTCGTGTAAAATTTTTTAGTTCAATGTAATCTCACTTTTCAATTTTTGGCTTTGCTGCCCACATTTTTGGACTCCTAAGAAACACCGGTTGCATCTGTGTCTTGAGGTGTTTCCCTTACGTTTTCCTCTAGCAGTTTCAGAGTTTCAGATCTTACGCTAAGATCTTTGATTCATTTGGGTTGATCTTTATACAGGATGTGAGATAAGAATCAAGCTTTACTCTTGTACATATGAATATCCAGTCTTCCCAGCATCACTTTTTCAAGAGGTCATTCTTTCTGCAAAGTGTATTTTTGTAACTTTTTCCATGTTCACTTGGCTGTGGATGCATGGATTTATTTTAGGTTGTCTATTCTGTTCCACTGATTTATATGTTTGCTTTGATATCAGTGCCATGCTGGTTTTGTAACTGTGGCTCTATACTCTGTCTAAAATCGCACACAGTGTTACATCCACTCTGCTCTTTTTGCTTGTTGCTTTGGCCATCGTGTGCTCCCTAATTTTGACAACCCTTCTACCTTTCCGTGTGCAGAAGCTTTTGTTGCCTCATACTGTTCTCCTCTCAGTGTCTACAGATACAGCTCTTTTTCACCACATGTCTTGATCTCACCAAGAGCAACCTATTTGCACATCCTCTGCGTGTTTCTCTATGGTTTAGTCGGCCTCCAGGTCTCAGGTCACAGTCAGCCTCCGCTGTGCTTTTGTGGATCACCTGCTCCCTGACGGTGAAGCAACAGCACTCACATCACTCTAGGCCCTGCACTGCTCTCAGCACTGTTGGCTAAGTCGACCCACGCATCACAGCCTCACAGTCCTTAGCAGAATTTGCAATGACTTTGTTACTTTTTCCTGTCTGCCTCATTAAAACATGAAATTTATGATAAAAATATGATTGATAATCACAATTATTTCTCCTGTAGACATGTGACCAACACTTGACAAATATTTGGAAAATAAATTGGTCTCTTGGTAACCCAGCACAATACATGGAGCAGGAATTACTAGTCCCATTTCACAGATAGTGAAATCATAGAGATGCCCCATAACTTGTCCTAAATCATACTCAGATCTTTTTTACTCAAATCCAAGATTTAGATTGGATTGCTTTCCATCTAGGCAAACCTGGCACTGTATGTAACCTCTGTGCTTACGTATCTCCAGCTGTAGAATTAAGATCTGGTTAAAGGTTATTATGAGGATTTCAGAAATCATTGTATAAAAGTACTTAACACAGTGCCTGCTGTAGTTTTGATCTTGAATATTCCCCAAAGACCCATATATGAAAGACTCGATCCATAGAATGGCACTGTTAGAAGTGGTAGAAACTTTGGGAGGCGAGCAGTGTCCTCAGAGAAGATGCGGGACCCCAAAATTTCTTCCTCTTTCTCTTTCCACCCCATCCATGAGTTGCACAGTTGTGCAGTGCAACACGGTGCCACCACGATGTGCTGAGGCCTAGAAGCAACGGGGCTGCTGGATGGCAGACTAACCCCTCTCAAATCGTGAGCCAAAATCAACCCTTCCTCTTTGGAAGTGGAGCTGCTCAGCTGTTTATTATACTAAGGGAACGCCGACTAACACAGCACTTGATACAGTGAGGGCAGTGTGGGTGGGCTTCTGCTATCACTGCAAAACTACACTTTCAACTCAGGGCTGTCCTTTTTTACAACTAAAAAGTAAAAATTGTGCTTTAGAAAATCACATTAAGCAGGCTGCTGCTGGACTGGAACAGACAGACCTCAGCCCCTTCTGGTATACAGGCTGGCAAACAAGAAGCACCATACACACGCGCACACACACACACACACAGACACACACACCTGCTGCAAACAACAAGCTCATCCTGAGAAACACAGCCGTGATGGTAGCTATGGAGGTGGAATGCAGCTGGATGCCTGTGGTGCTCTGGTGTTTCACTAACACTGCAGGTCTAGAACCAATGGTCTGATCACAGGCTCAGAGGATAGCAGTGTGCAGTGTGGCATCTAGGGGGTATCTCCACTGTTTTGCGGGTTGAGCCTTATCCTCTTTTGTTTTGTTTGATTACATCAAGTCCAATGGCAGGAGCAGTTATTTTGAGGAGGCATAATATATTATGGTAGCAATTCTGGATTTGCTATAGGCTTGTTTTAAAGTCCTTTATTGCATTCATTGTTCTGTTTTTATTGTTTGTTTTCTATTCTATGTTTGACTTTTACTATGTCCAAAGTTATCTGCAGCTATTTTGAAGACATCAAAAGGCATTATGGTAACTATTGTTGATTTTGTAATGTTTTGAAGTCCTGTATCTCTTATACTGGTTTGTTTGCATTGGTTTTATTCCATTTTATCCACTTTAAAATAAATCAAGGAAAATCACATTAAAGCAATGGTAACTTTAAGTTGTGCATTTATCTCAGTCTACCTAAATCTGGCTCTGAAAGAGGATAGCAGCCATCTCTTCCCCATGCCCTCCTTCCGAGGCTATTCTGAACACCACTCTAAGGAAACAAATGCCAAAGCGGTAGCGCCTTAAAAAGCACAATAATCTGTATAAGTTTTCCACTGCGGGACAAACAGAAGAGTAAAACTGAAAATGAGCGCCAGGCATTTGGGGAAATGAACTTCTTGGCAAATGAGCCGCTGTGAGACAGCAGTGTGAGACCCATCTTGGAGCCCAATCAGGGATAAAGCCAGCACCGTCACTGGCTCCCCAGAACACAGAACAACCCAAAGACAAGGGTTCAGAGACACAGCTGAGTTAGGCTAAGGCTGGCGTGGCTGGAGCAACCGCCCTCAACAGCTTTTACTTCTCAGTGCTTGAAATTTAACAGCCTTTAATTCCACACTTATAGATCAGAGTTTAGGACATATTCCCATTGCAAAATAATTTCATAGAGAAATATCAGTCTGTTACTAAATCACAGATCTTGATAAAGGAATTTTTGCTGTCCATAATGGGCTGTTCTCAGGAGAATTGGGAAATTTCTCAGCAGAGAGGATAAACAAGTACTGAGGGGGGACTGAGATTAAAGGAAAAGAGACATTTGTGCATTTGACCGCTGTTTATCAGCCACAGACCAGGCTCCCCTCTAAGTCTGTGTGGACTGACTTGTTTCTTAAGTCTCAGGAAGACGTGACGAACACTTAGGAAAGATGTTGCCAGGTTAGCCCTGAAGTGGGCAAAGCCTCTGTTAGCTTCAGCCCAGTTTCTTCCTCCAGCAGCCCAGGCTCTGACCACTAGAGGGAACCGCGCCATCAAATGTGTGCTAGGCCGACTCCACACCCTGCACGCTTGGGGCGTGCCCTGTCACTACCCAGCAATCCGTGAGTGTCAGTTTCTCTGAAGCCTGGCCAGTTGCTGTAGCCCTTCAGGTCGCTGTGCAGCGATGGCTCACTGTGGTCTGAATTCACGCTGCTAACTGGCCCCTCGTGTTTGCCGTTCTATTTTCAGTAAAGTATCTCTACATTCTCTTTACTCATTTTCTGATTGAATGGTTTGAGTGTTGTTTTGTTTCGTTTTGGCTTTGGGTTGAGTTTGGAGGTTTTTAAATGATATATTCTCAGAACTAGTACAGCAAAACGTTGGGTTGTGAGTAACTTGTTCTGTGAATATTCTGCAAAATGACCAAAGATTTCTGATATTTTAATAAATGAGCAATATTTGGCAGTGTGAGTAGTATGCGATGCCGAATGTCACCTGATCACCAGTGAGTCACTGGCTCCTCTCCCCGTCCCGTCCTGTCCCCTTCCCCTCCTCCTTCCCCTGCTCCTCTCCACACCTCTGCCCTCCTCCCTCTCCTTCTTCCCTCCCGTGGTGGGTGATTGTCGCCCAAGAGCAAGAGGGGATGGACATCTCTTCTCTGCAGAGGAGGAGGAGAAAAAGGGGGAGGAATTCCTCACTTCAGATTAGGTAAAATGTATATAAAATGTGGGAAACAGTGCAAAATTTGGTAAAAAAAAAAAAAATACTACCAGAATAAGGGTATAGAGTGCAAGTGATAAATTTAATGATAATACAGTGTCAGTTTCTGCAAAATCCTCAAAAGGAAGCAAAAGCAAGTGTCGCTGAATAGGTTCCTTATTAAAGTGCATGAAAAGAAAAAGATTGCAGGGAGCCAGTAGCAGCGATCCCACGAGCGACAGTGACACTCATCCTCTACAGTAACCCTCCGCTCTGGTCTTCACAAAGGTTCTAGAAGAAGGTAAGTGTAGGTTAATTTGTTTTTCTTTATGGTCTGTATTTTCTTTGTTATTTTATGTTACAGTATTATAATCATTTTATATGAATATTTATGGAACAACTGATCTGAATTCCCATTATTTTATGGGAAAACTCACTTTGATATACAAAGGCCTCAGAATACAAGCATATCTCCAGAATGAACTGTGCTTGCCAACCAAGGTTTTGCTGTTTAGCGAGCAGTGTGAACGTTCCCCATTTTCCATTCAAAGATGCAGCAGAATGGACCAAAAAACAAAATGCAGTGATATTCTGTGTACAAGAAACACACTGAACAAAAACATTGAAAGGGAAATAATACTCCCGAACTCATTCATGAAGACAGGCATTGCCCTGATTCCAAAACCAGGAAAAGACCCAACAAAAAAAGAGAAAGGTGAGTCAATCTCTTTAATTAACATTGCACACGACAGAGACCACAACAGAAAGAGACAGTCCTGTGCTGGGAATTAAACCGTCTCTTCCCCCATAACAATGCAGAATTATGATATCAAGACTAAGCTAATGATCAACCAGATCCCAACCCATTAGGTAATCCTCAAAAACTGGCCTCTTGCCTTTTTAAGTGTGCTGGTTAGAGCCCCTGTATCAGCGTGCTTTCCTTCTGGGTACCTAAACTGGAATCCTTTCCTGTCTTCCCTCTAACATTCTAATTAAAGCTTCTTTCTGTAAAATTTAAAAAATAAAAAGGGAAAGGGTTCCATAGTTATGCCTAATAGGCTTAAGAGTTATATAATCATCCTTAAAGACTGGATCCTTGAACAGGCTTCAAAGGGCGCCTCTTACAGTTTGCATTCTACTGAGAAGAAATGACTGAGAAATGGAGGAGCAGTCATCTCAGGCTCTCAGAGCTGGCTGTTAACCCAGCCAAGTAAGGCTCCATATCTCCAAGACGTGTGAACATTCAAAATCAAGACTTGCTTTCTTCCGCAGTAACTGATGGTGGAAACCGCTGAGTTCCATAGATGATACTGCTTCGGGTTTAAAATTTTACATCATTCTCCGTTCCTGGAACAAACCAAGCAGCCATCAGTGCCTGTCCCATTCCCTCGACTCTCTACTTGCCACAGTAATTCTCTCTGAAGTGATTTTCGGTTTTCTGCAGTGCTAGCCAGTCGTGACTGGCTGTGGCATCTCTAACAAAAGACGTTGGATTCTACAGTAAAGTCCCATGGTGGTGTTACAGAGCTAAAAATAGATTTACACTGTGTCATCTGATATTTTCAGATGATCAGCTACACTGCTCCTCTCTGTTCTAAAATTAACAGAGGTTAGTGAATTTTTAAAGTCTTTTCTCTGAACAGTCCAATTCAGAGAACAATAGTCATTTTCCAGGCAGACCTGGATTCAACCGAATATTCTCAGGCTGAGGCCCCTCACACATTTTCTCTCATTACTTGTCTCTAGCCGTAGTTCTTTGATCTGACTTCTATGCGTATTTTTAAATTTTATTTTAGGTGATTATATATCTTTATAGCGCAGGCTACAATTTTCTTGCTGTCACCAGCTTCAGCTAAACTTTTCTTTATACACATTCAAATTATTTGCCCAAATACTATGGACAAGACCAAATGAAAACGAGAGGAAAACATCTTGCTGTTGAGGGAATAAAGCACCTTTCACGTAATAAGTAGGTGTTCGCAGGATTTTGCACACCAGCTGCGTACAGAGAGGACTTCAAATAGACTTCATCGGTGATGCATCGCCTAATATAAGATCCTAACGAAGCTTGATACAGCAAGACAAGAACAAGATTCAACTTCAGTCAGATCAGCGAGCACAACTTTTAACAACTTTTTCAACTTTTTTGCCCAGGTAAAACAACCACACTTATGCTTTTCTGGAGGTGAGGAGTTCGGTCCTGGAGGCTGAATCCAGAGCCTCATGCCCGCCAAGCTAACCTTGAGCTATTCCCCAGCCCGCCCCCCATAATAACTATTTTTAAACTGAAATACATTACTATGTTACTCATCTATAAAAACCAGTAAGAACCTTTAGAACTTAAATAATAATACTCATTTGGAATATGCATAGTTACTTGAATTCCTAAAGAAATCCCAAACCAAATGTAAGCTCATACCCAGGACACCCTGTTGTTCTTGGCTAAGTATACAATGACCAGAACTCATCCTTTGCGTGTATGCATGATTCAGGGACTGGCTTGGAGACTGTTTGTACTGTGATATGTATTATCATCTAGAATGTAAATCAAAGTAGCTAACAATTTCACTCTTTTGTGATTCTTCACTTTAAAATTACAAGTTCCAGTTCGTTAGATTTGACTGATCACTATCTAATCTGTCTATATTCCTTGACTTTCTCTAATCAAGAAAGTGAATAGATATCTTAGCAAGAGAGGGCCAGAGGAATACTATGAGCATTACACCATGCTTTGTTGAGTGGGTTCAGAATAGTTATCACAAAAACAGACTGACATCAATAACATAATTGCCGCACGAATAATCTTGCAGCTAGAGGGACCTGCCAAGGCTTCTTTATTGTAAGCATTCATTATGCTTTCCACAGAAAACAAATGCTTTCTGAGAAATTTAAAAATAAGTATCCGCTTTCTCTTGTTTGTATTTCTTGGTTTCAACATGAGATACCCAAAGATAAAAGACACTGCTGTGCTATGGGGATAATACCGGATGTGGTCACCAGGATTTATGTAGTAGGTAATGGAAAAGTCACATATGTAATGAAATATTGGTGAGCTAGTCTTCATTACCACCTAACATTTGGCACTATGTCTTACCAACTCTATGTGGATGCCAAAGAGCATGTTCACATTATTTAAAACTCCTTAAGGGTACTAGATGAAAAGGAAAATGTTAACCCCAATGTACATAAGAGAGAGAGTCACAGAGACTAAGAAAATGACCTCAAATTTAAAACATTATTCAGGAGCCACCACCTCTCCAGGGGAAGGCGGACCGAGGGTGCACAGATTCCCAGCCTGCTGCTGGGCTCCGGCTGCCTTGTAATAGGTCCTGCTGGCTTCTAGAGAGGTTTTCTCTCACTCTTCTGCCCTGCGTTCCCTCAGTACTAATAAATTCAGTATTAATTTGCAATTCACGTTTGAAAAAATAAAAAGCTTTCTTTCAATTCCTTCAGGGAAGAAACCAGTGCTTTCTTTTTCTCTGACATTTATTCAGCTTTCTGAAATGTACAGGTAACAATGGAATGAGGCCTTAGGCTGGGTGCAGTTAAATAGAAGGCTTCTTTACTCCAAGAGCTGAGTCTTTACAGGACGGATGGACATTGTCAAACTCCAAGAAGGAAATATTACTTACAGATGTATGTGGTCAGAACAGCTATTTTGTGGCTGTCTTGGGCAGAATAACAGCCTCCCAAAGATGTCTGTGTCTTAACCCCTGTGACTTTATGTGGCGAAGGGGGATGAAGGTAGAAGAGATAATTAAGGTTACTAATCAGATGCCCTAACACGGCAAGGTGACGTAGGCACAGTGGTGCCTGCCCATAATCCCAGTATTCGGAGGCTGAAACAGGAAGAAACCAGGTCTAAGATCTTCTCACACGGTTTAGCCAAAGCTTATCTCAAAATGAGATTTTACAAAGGGGTGACAATGTAGCACGGTGGTAGAACACTCACCCAGCAGACATAAGGCCTTGTGTCCAGTCCTAATACTGGGGAAAACAGTAAGGTGATGTAGGTTCATCACAGTATGTCAGGTCTTGAGATGGGGATTTGTTTAAAGGTCCTCATAGAGAGAGAAAGCATATTTGGTTTTTTGGGGGGCTATGTTTTGTTTTGTTTTGTTTTGTTTGTCTTTTTGAGGCAGGGTCTTACTATGCAGTGCAGGCTGCCCTTGAGCACAGGATGGTCTCAAACTCACAGCAATCCTCCTGCCTCAGCCTCAGGAGAGCTGGGACCTCAGGCATGCATCACCATACCCAGCTTGAGCGAGTATATTTGGAGTTGACATGAAATCTAAATTTCCAAGTGCTATCAGAGAATAAGATATTTGAGGACCCTGGAGTGCAGGTGAGGATCTGAAGGTTGGAGGGGTCTGAATAATTATGATGGAGACCAGGCCATGCTAGATTGGTGCCAGCTCTTTATTTCTGTCGATCATGCACAACAAATTCTTGCACATTCATACAGCAGGTCTAGGGCAGTTTCTCACCTCTTGGGTGAGGCAGTGCCACGTGACTTGCTCTGGCCAATGAGAACACAGAAGACGTGACGTCAGCATGTGCGTGTCCAGGCCTGTGGGGCCTTATTGCCCCTCTGCATGACAGAGTCTGCCATGGAAGGACCTAACCTTTGCAGCAGATGTCCCTTAAACCTGGACTGCAAATGCATACAGACGGCCCTCAATTTAAGATGGTCCGACTTGATTATTTCTTTTCATTTAGATTGTCTTATAGAAGCAGTGCATACTCTGGAAATATGCCTTCAAGTCGATCTTTCCCTGGGCTTCAGATATGTGGTAAGATGCCCTCTCCAATGCTGAGCAGTACCAGCAAGCTTCAGCTCCCAGTTAGCTCCATGTATGTTAACGTACAGTACTGCAAATGACTAGTACTGGTACTGGTACATTAAGCATTAGGTGTATTAAATGCATTTTCTTTGTTTTTTGTTTTTTGGGGTTTTGTTTTGTTTGTTTTGATACTGGGGATTGAACTCACAACCTCGCGCTTGCCAGGCAGGTGATTATGCTGCGGAACTAAATCCCCAGCCCTACATTTTCAACTTATGAAGAATTTACTGGAGTGTAACCGCATCATATATCTATACAGACAGCATACCCAGTCCTGCAAGTGAAAGCAGAGCTATACTCTAGCTAACCAGCAAACATATGCATGAAAAACAAATTTTTAAAATCATATACAACCCAGATTTTGTGTATGCTTACACAGCTTTATTGAGGTAACAGCAGATTAAGACATGTGTTTTCTCATGTCATTATATATTCCTTAAAAAACACTTTAGTAAATACATCCATTCTGTGGATGTATTTCTATTTTAATTTAGATTTCTCTAAGTTTGGGAGTACTTCTATTTTTATTCTTTTAATAATGATATTAATAATATTGCTACACAAAATTTTCCTAAATTTTGGTTTATCTTTGTAATGTTATTACTTTGTTATTATTTCTTCTTGAGATAGTCTTAGAAGTTAAAAAAATACAAAGCTCTTGATATGAACTATAAAGTTGTTTTCCAAAAGTTTACACTGCCACCAGTACCGTATGCGATTTAGCATATTTCAATCAACTAGAAAACAGGACAACCTTGGTTACTTTGACACATAAGCAGTATCTCAGTGATATTTTAGTTTTTGTAGCTGTGATCAGAAGTGAGATAAAAGCTTTTAACTGAATTGCCTTGATTTTCTGTTCCGTGAGTCTCAGCAGCCATCTCATGCGGCCGTGCTGCAGGCCTCCTCTGCCCTGCTAGCTTCCCCGGTGCCAAAGCCAGGCTGATTTCTGTGCTGTCCAGAGCCGTAACAACACGTGGCTGCTGCATATTTCACAGGGATATAATGCCCTGTGTTGGTACAAGGTCTTAAGTGTACATTAGATTCAATAAAATATAAAATCGATGGGATCTGCTACACTTGCTTCTTTTTATTTTATAAGTAGCTACTAGAAGCTTCTAAACTATACATTTCTATCACACAGCACTGGTTTGATCCTTCAGTGTCACTTGAAACACTCAGATGCCGAGACTGGCATTGCCTCATCCTCGGGTGGGCTCTCCTGCTACTGCATTGCCCATCGCTTCTGGTCTGTTACCAAGCCATCCAGATGATGCTGTGCTAAGTACACGCATCTCTCTTCCAAGTCTCTACTCCGTTTCATTCTCCAGGTTTCACCCTCTAACTCATTTCCATTTTCTTGAGATTAATCCACATCAATATCTGGTAACACGTGTCTTAGTTACTGCCTCATCAGTGAGACACAATACCTGACATCTATCAGTGTAAGGAGGGAAGGATTTATTTTACCTCACAGTTTGCGGAGGTTTCAGTCCAAAGGCTCAGCTGGCTCCAAAGCAAGGCAGAAGAGAGAAGGCTCAGGACAGGGCATCAGGAAGTGGGAAGACCATGAAGGGAGGAGGGAGGAGGAGGGACCCTTCCCGGCCACACCCCTGCTGGTCCCCTTCTCTACCAGGCTTCACCTTCCAAGATCACATTTAGGTCTAAACTCGTCAGTGGACTAATCCCCAAATGAGTATCACGGCCTTATTATCCACTCAGCTTCTACGAGCAGAGGAGGCTTTAAGGGAACTTCCAGATACAAACCATAACAGGCTCTATTACACATTTCTGAATGAGATGGCAAACAATAAAGATTGTAAACCCTAAATGCGTTTCAGACAGATTATATTCACAACTATCTGTACTCATAGTCTATGTGTATTTATATATTTATTATAATAAAGATTATATGTTTATATTCTATTTTCCCTGTTACTGAAACACATGATTTTTACAATGCTGAGTTCTTTTTATATCATGCTACTTAAAGGTCACAGACACAGAAAGCTAATAAGCACTTCTGTGTTTTCCAAATTCCCTTGCCTGTGCCTGCACCTTTCAACACAGCTCTGAATCCTCTTGCACCACATTAGTGTAGACAGTCAAGAGGTTATGCCTGTAGTCACTAATGATCAGAAGTTTCCCCAACACCCAAATTGTCACAGACATTTACTCATAATTCCTGGGGCATTTTTGGTTTTGGTGGTTGGTTTTTTGTTGCTGTTGTTGTTGGTATTTGCTTGTTTGGTTGGGGTGTTTTTGTTTTTGTTTCTTCCTCTTCAGTCTAGTGGGTAGGATGGGATATAGATTAATTTACCTCCCTAGAATTAGAATTAACTTACCAGGTTACCAGTAGAATTTTTAAAAGGCATATAAATGATCCAAAAGAAAGCAATATGAATGCTAATACCGGGTAGCATTCTTAATGTATTAAAAGGATTAACATGTGTGACATTTTTTAGATTCACAGCTCTTTCCATGTTGCCTGAAGTCATCATTGCAGGGCCAATGTGCCTGAGGGAAATAGATGTAGCACATCTTTAATGAGACCCAGCTTTCTCCAGCGCTCCTGTCCCACTCAAACCCAGCAAACTTCTGGTCCAACTCCACGCAGGGTCCCTAGGAAATTCAAGCCAGTTTAAAGATGTCAGCATGTGTAACCGTAAGCCTTAGTGAACTCCCACGCGTGCTCTCTGGCTGCTGCTCAGCTCGCTGGTTTCCTACATAACTTTGAGAGATGCTGAGAACATCATGTTGGCTGTTAACCTGTTAACAGTTTAGCCATTTTCTGTTCGCACTGGCGATGGGCCCAGCTCCGCAGGAAGCACAGGAGAGGGTGAAGAAGTTGCCTTCCTTTGAGAACTCGGTGGGGGAGATAGTCTGCAGAGCCTGAAGGAGAGTGCTGGGCAAGCTTCCACTCCGGGTGTTTTCAAAACATTCATTATTTTGACAACAGTTCGGTGAAACCAGCTTTTATTCCTATTGTACAAGTCAAAGAGAGATTTCTTGAAACACATTATAGTCCCAGGAAGTAAATAACTATTGCCTTGTTTTATGCATATGAGAAGCTTCTGTGAAGATGCCTAAATATTTTGATTAATTTAGTAGAGGAACTGATGCGTAGGTATTTACAATATCAAAGTTCTTTTCTGATTGAATTGGTTTAAAAAATACAACATAAAAGGTAGGACATTTTTGTAAAATAGAAATCTGAAAATAGATGCTGCAGTCTTTCGAGGCTTTCAGAGTCAGATTTAAATATCAGCATTATCTATCAATTTGGTGGGTGTGAGGGAAGGACCTCGCTCTGGATTTACAAATGTAAAGGCGTTTGCTGTACCTCTTGAGTGCATGATTATAAGGAGTAATACTGGTAACTATCTCTTCAGCTCATGTCTGGGAGATAAACATCAGTCCTATATAATAGTGTTCCAAGAATGAAACGTCCTTCATACTGATCATAACAGCCTACGAAGGACTCACCGGTCACCTCCATTCAGGTCAGAATTGCTACAAACGGAGCTTGCGCCATTTTTAGGTGGGATTCTAAAAAGCAGCTCCAATTCAAGCGTCACAAGCAGAGACTTTTTAAACTGAGCCTCTGTTCTCCATCTCCCTCCTGGAGCAGTGTCCTAGAGGCGCATTCCTGGTCTTAAGTGTGCCCCAGACTTCTGTGTGCTAAATGTGTGGTCACCTTTATCAAAAATGTAAAGTCAGAGGTTCTAAAACTTTGCCATCGATAAATGAAGCTAGTAGGTTTGTGCTGTCAAGGATGGAAAAGATTTTGTGGGCAGTTTTTGAAGAAGGTAGTAACAGATGTCAGACATCGAGATAAAAGAGCCCTGGACTTCTAGCTTTGAGACGCTTTAGAAATAATATTGACCCAAACTGAAAACTATTATCTGATGGCAACCTGACTATATTTCTTCTCTTGAAATGCTGAACCTTTCACATCTCTGCCTGGCTAGGTCTGATCAACTCTCAACTCTCTGTTCATGATTCAACATCGTATTTCAGTCATTGGTGACACTCAGTCTCTCACCTTGGGGTCAGGAGCATTAAGGTATCGTGGGCGGTCTCTGAAAGTTTACAGAACCCATTATCATAAGTTTTACTGATACTAGCTAGTCAGAGCCTTGTAGTCAGTCACATACTGTAGAATTCAAAGCGTTTACAAACTAGATGGAAAGAAGGGTATATGCAAAATCCAGCATAGCATGTCTGTGTTGGTCAGTCTTCCATTACTACAGAAAATACCTGAGATAATCAGCTTATAGAGAGAAATGGTTTGTTTATAGCTTTGGAGCTGTGAGCCTGTACTTGGTTGGTCCTGCAGTTTTTGTGCTTTCAGAAAAGCAGCACATCATGGCAACAGCTTGTGACTACACAGAACGGTCCACCTCATGGAGAAAGAGCAAAAGACGAGACTGCACCTTAATGCGCAGGCTCCCAGCCATCTCCCGGCCTCCTACCAGGCTGGACCTCTGGTCTGAGATGACTCCTTTCACATCATACCACTTTTCTAATTCTGTCGCCCAAGAATAAAGAGTCTAATGCGGATGTGGTAGAGTGGTTACTGTAGCACATTTATCAACTGATCTTTCCCTTTTCTGGGCACAGAGGCGATCCTCAGCTAGCTGCCTCAGGGAAGCAACACGGCGGAGAAAGCAGAAATGGCCCATGAGCACTTTTGTCCGAATGTTTAAAAGGTGGAACTTAGAATGGTGGGTGGTGTGCAGCAAAACGCATGTGTGGGAGCACAATTCAAAGGGCATTCATCTCCCCGGCTATCTGCCTAAACAGGGTTCTCTGAGGTCAGAGGAAAGCAACGAGAATGAAGACGAGACAATCAGAAAAGCCGGGGGTCCAGGGTGGTTCCTCCTTCTGAGTGCTTCCCCTGGGGACGTGCTAGTACGCCAAGGAAAGGTGGCTTTGTGCACTGTCTAGGCAGTTTGGCTCATTACCTTTTAGATTCCCTGCCTAAGTGACACAGCAGGATAAGAGGAACCTCCAGTCCTCCAGGGCCGTGCTGCTGGCATAGACCTACTATGCATACAAACCACTGGTAACTAACACACTTAAAAGTGCTATAAGTGGTAGCTCTAAGGATAATAGTATTAGAAAATTAAAAGCCAACTACAAAAGTTGAAAATTATTTTTTATGTGTGAATATCATTAGACTTATGTGTGGTTATCTTATGCCCTGATAGACAAATACAGGTACAACAGTTTGCTCTTTAAAAACATCTTCTTGGAAAAGAAACAGTGCTAAATATTTATTGACACATTAGGAAAAAGAGATGCTTGGAGTGAAAAGGGGATGCTTGGAGTGTAGATCTAGGTTCACATCATAAGGAACTCCTCTTGGTTTGTATTTTACTCAACCCTTAATTTATTGAACTATGAGTGTGCATGAATCCCTATTTAGTTTTTCATTGTGCTAGATTTTGTATTTGTTGCAACTGTTCCTCTCAGGAGTCTCAGGACAACCAAAATTTGATTACTCACTCAACATCATATTACTTTAAATTTAATCTCCTTCACAGCTGATTTCCCATTGTCCTTGTTCTTCTCTTTTAGCATATCTGCAAACGTCTCATTGCTAGACCATTCCTTTTCCTCTTCTATACTTTGATAGCTAAGACTGCTAAAAAAAAAAATCATGCATCAGTGTTAGTGTCACCATCAAAGGCCAGCTTCCAAATATGGCTGAATCCTCCCTGTTCAGGAGTTTCTTCGTCCCAGGAAGTGCCACACTCTTCTGACTTTGTCCTGCTTTCCTGACCTTTCCTTCTCAGTCATCTTGTAAGCTCTTTTTTCTTCTTTTTAAAAAAATATGAGTGCTCCTTGCATGCTAGCCTTTCCTCCCATTAAAAACTCTACTCTTGTGACATGCCAACTACTATGGGAACTTTTAACAACCATGCTAGCTAGTGGCTCTCAGATCTTTGTCTCCACTCCAGGGATTTCTGGGCTCCACATGTGTACAGTAAGAGACATCTTTACCTACATCATCAAGACACTATAAGCACAAGTTCAAAAATTATATTCCACATACATATTCCATCTCATCTACTTGGTTCTATCTCATGTTGACCAGAATTCCGTATTTTCAAGCTATGCAAACCCTCGACCCTACCTTTGTTCTCACTTTTTATAAGACCCTAAAGAAAGATCTTGAACCGCTTCGTGCTTCTCAGCACCACCATGAGGATTTCTTGTCCTCCGCCGGTGCTCATTTTATGACTGGAGTTACGGGATGAGTGGCCTGGAATATTGGAGGCCCCCAGAGCCAGACTTTTTCCCCTGAAATTCCAGTAACATTAAAATATCAATGATAACACTGATAGAAAAGGTTCTTGAGCACTTACTGTGTATTAGGCACATCCCACTCAGCTTTTTAACCCTACAATAACCCAATTGGATAGGTGTCCTTAAAGTCTTTGTTAAAGATGAGTAATGACACATGAGAAGCTTCCCAGGGCCACAGAGCTGTGAAGCAGCAGTCAGGGTCTAAAACTCTGGCCTGAAAGTCAAAATTCCATAGCTCAACTTTACTCTTTTGCTGTGAAAAGTTCCACAGAACTGTGCTCCAAACTCAGAAGGTTCCAGAGCAATGTAGAAAATGCACACGAGTGAAGGACACCGAATGTTCCCCAAGTAAAGAGGTTGAAATATTCCTCGGTGGCTTTTTCCTTACTTTCAGGAGAGACACAGAGGGAAAATTATTTCTCTATATACCAGAAGTAATAATAGAAGCATGCAAATAAATCACACTGGATACGCAGATGAGAAGGATCAGGAAGAAACAGAAATGTGGTGAGCTGGGAGGCACGTTTCCAAACTCGGAGATTCTCAAGGTCTCAGGTGTAGATTCTTGGGGAGCAGCATCAGTGTCACTCTGGGAACTTGACAGAAACGCAGATTTGGGGCCCATCCCACACTTGCTGCATGAGAAATGTCCTAGGGTAGGTCTCAGCAATCTGCAGCTTAACAGGCCAAAACCAAACTCTACCCTCCATTCGACTTGAGCTGATGGTTAACAGAGTGGAAAAATACAAACCTCAGATCATCAGAGCTTCCCAAGTGTTAGGAAAATCTGCAAGTCTTAATTACTTTTATTCACTCAATTTTTAAATACTGTCTCAAAAATTGTTTTTAATACTGTATGGGCTGAACAAAACGTTTGGACTAGTTGTGCCCTACAGACTGCCATCAATGACCTCTCAATAGCATCTAATTTGTATTAGTTGTTTTATTACTGCTTGTTGAAATGTCAATAAATAGTCTTCTTTTCGTTATAGCCACTTGTTTGGGAGAGTGATTTGCTCACTTAACAATAACATTTCATAGAGCTTAAATATACTGATTAGCTTCTTTACTCTGGTAAGAATTATCAAGATGTAATTCATATTTGGATTATAATTTGAGCTACAATGAAAGAAAACATTAGCTCTAAGAAACTTATAAACATCTGCAAAATGACATTTTATGAAACATTGAACAATGGCCGTGTGTTTAGGGCATGCTGAAGACTACCAGGGAAAATGAGTCTAGTTGTTTTAATCAGTCTATTAAAGGCCTCCATAAGCATTGTGTGATGAGGAGTTTTTACTCTGGCCCTCTGAGAACACACCAGGCAAAGAACCGAGGGAAAAGTGTTCAGGAAATGGAAACATCATGCCTGAAGGCTCTGGGAGAAATGCAATCACTGAATACACAAACATACACCTGGATGGTGCACACTAGAATGGAAGTGAGGCTGGAGGTTAGGGCGTGTCAGGGTGGCTGAGGAAGCAGGCGTGACCTTTCAATTACAAAATCCCAGGACACATGCACGGAACCGTTCTCAACACCCTGCACGTGGACTTCTCCCAAGAACCCCAGCAGGCTTCCCGTGGGATGTTCTAAACCCAACAGCAGCCTGAGTAGTAAGTAGAAAATACAACAGGAGCTCGTAGCTGGTGTTCCCTCTCAGAGTAGCTCACTGTCCCGTGGGGAGCTATTTTTTTCTTGGCTCCACGTTGTTCTGCAGAACACTTTTCTTTTCCAACCTTTAATAAATGTAAAGCTTCACTACATTTGCACTTGTCTTGACCAATTATTTGTCCAGAACAGGAAAAAACCAGAAAATATTTCTAGAAGGAGATTCCAGCACCCAAAAGTCTGGCAGCAGAAGTAAGATTGGTATGCAGAATTGCCCAATATGAGGTTGGAGAAGTGGAGAAAGACCATATTACAACAGCCTTAGAGACCTCATTATGGATCTAGGATTATTGTCAGGACAATAAGAAATCACTGGCAGATTTCAATATAGCTATGATTTCCTTTCAAAAGGACCTCTTAAAGAGACTATAGTATTCAGTGAAATAAATCAGACCCTCATTGATTCTCTTATGTAAAAAACATAAAATATAAATAAAGAGCAAAATAAAACATAACAAGAAATAAGGAGCTTGATCCTTTGCACAAGTGAAGGGGACCGAGAGATGGAGGGAAAAGGGGGAGGGAGCAAAAGCTGAGAAACAGAATTATGATGTCCTGCGTCTACGTACCAACTTCCCAAGAGAAATTGCTGCAGAAAAATCAGTATCAAACCGGATGAAAGACTCTTTGCCTCAGGGAATCTGGAAGGAAACTGTATAGATTTTATGTCCATGGGCTGGGGGACTACAGCAGGGTCAAATCGCCAGGCAGGAGCCAGCTTTGGTCCAGTTTGAATACAGTTTACAAACAGGAAGCACAGGAAGATGGCGGGTTGTTACATGAATTAAGTCACATATTGTCATCAAGTTCACTCCAAATATATTTACTTAACAGGAAGTGCTGCTGTCATATCCTGGAGAGGAGAGGAGAGGAGAGGAGAGGGGCTAAGTGGAGCGGGCAAAGTGAAAAGTGTCCTTGCCTGGGTTACTTCATCCTCAACAAAGTCCTTGAAGCAAGTTGGAACAGCAAATTGGCCCAGTGCACGAGCAGAAGAAAGCAGCTGCACCCCGACAGTCAAGGCTGACTGAAGTTAGCCGGGTGTATGTGACAAGCAGCAGGAGCAGAGCAGAGGCTACCATACGATTTTTAACTTGATATAACATGTCTATAAGTTTGCTATTCTATAACTGTGCCTTTACAATTTATATAACTGTGTCCTTGCATATATATATTGGTATCCCTACAAAGTGTAATCACTAAGTACTATAAACATATACCAATAAAATAAAAATTAAAAAATAAAATAAAAGACCAGTGTGATTACATTATGAAAACACATCAGGAAAGAGTAGATGTAAGGCAGATCTATTACACAGTTGTCAGGAGTCCTGGAGGGATATGGTGCGCGGTGGTTGTGAGGAAACTGAAAAGCATTACACAGATTCAATAAGCATGCAAGAAGTCAGAGGAACGTGGCTTTGTGGGTATTAATCAGCCCCAAATAAACCGAAAGGCTGGGAGCCCAGGGCTATCACCGGAACGTACCTGCAGTGTTCATGCTCCAGCCTGCCCTCACAGCAGAGACTAGTGCCTGCAAAGGACCTATCTACCAGTTTCTAAATCCATGACTGAACCAACCCCTGGGTGCACAGAGGTTGTGCCCCACAACTGCATGTGTATCACTAGCCTGAGAAAGCCACATTTCTGTTAGCACTAACCTTACGTGAAAACGTGCTGAGCTCCAAAGCAATGAGCTTTTCTGGAAAATGGCCTATGTAAATGTTAACTACTCCACTATTCGCTTGTCTTTTGTTTACTATGAAACTCCTAGATTTATAGCTCCTGGAATGCAGTCTCATCATTTCTAAAATAAGATTCAAACCCTTAAAATTATTTTAAATATTTTATTTCTCTTAAAAAAGCAAGATACATTAACATGATTCAGTCGCATTGACCTGATAAAGATCTTCTTACCCATCAGCAGAAATGCAAGATGTAGTTTTAACATTATAACTCACACTGAAACAGTGACTTTCCAATTTAAAGTGTATTTATTATTCAGGTCACTGTGTGTTCCCAGGGCAAAATGAATTAAATCAGCATCAAATGTTCTTACACTTCATTGCCATCTTCATGAAAATGTGGTTCAAAAGCTTCTATTATCTGCTCATTTTTTTTTTTGAATGAGGAATCCAGGACCAAAAACACCTACTAAACGAAGACAGTGGTGCATCCAAACAAGACATGCTAGGGTTGGAAATATGGGCAAAACGTGGTGAGTATCTTTTGAAATACAATAATCATTTGGAAACTCTTCATCAGTGAAGAAGTATTTTCAACCCTAGGGTGTCTCTATTAGTTGAATCAATACTATATATACTCATACCATTAAGTTAACAGATGAAATGTAAACAAAAATTAAGAATTGTATAGCTGCACAGTCCTGTCAATCACACACACTTTCCACTGATGCCTGAGTGTGTTTCCTTGTCCTAGATCCCTGTGACAGGTGCTCAGATACACACTTTGGATGAACAGACACCATTTAGCTTAGCAGGAAAAAGATGCCAGATTTAGGACAAGAAAACTGGCCCCAGCAACACTTCTGAGGTGCAAGCCCTCTCACAAACCAAAGACCTAGAAACAGAGAGAGACAGAAAGCCTGCACACCCAAGAACTATAAACAAACAATACAGGTGGACGTGTCTGTTTCATGAGACATTCGTCACCACTGGCACAGCAGACACCATATTCAGTGAGGAGCCCTCCCCAAAGCACATCAATGAGAGCTGTTTACAGAGTGAGAAGAAATGGGACATAAAAGAGTGACCTCTTGATTTCAAAAGAGATTGAAGATTTCATCCCTTCTTTGCTTGTAGGTGGCCTTTGCTGCAACCTAACCCTAACTGGCTTAGAGGAATTGGAAATAAGGTGGATGACATTACCAGCCACGTATCATTTCATGGCAAAAAAAAAAAAAAGTATGCAAGCATTCTATTATTGTTTCTCAGGATTATTGAAACAAACAGACGTAAAATTTAGAATTAATGTTGGGACAATGGTAGTCTGATGGAAGAAAGAAAATACATAGTAATAAATAAATTTGTAGGCAAAAATCATACCTTCTCTGGATACTAGTATTTAAATAGACCATTCTTGGTTAATGACCATAGAAGCATACGGATCTGAATTTATGCTGTTAAGTTTTCTATTATTGGCAACTGTGGAGTTGAATTAGTATTATTTCCTGTGATTTCTTTTTCTGCTCAATAGGGTAAGTTGGCCTGAAGTTGGACTAGCCTCTAAGAAATGGATATTTCTCTCATGCAAAGTTGCAGAGAAGCAAATTATAACCAGTTTTATATCTGAAAAGAATATAATTATATATCATAGAAAAGTGGGTCCAGGAGCTCTCCCCCGACCCGAAGGACCTTGGCAGGCAGGCAGCAGTCTCAACAACCCCTCCCTGGACTGACAGACCTCAGCAGGCCAGCGAGCGTCTGGGTGAGAACTTCACCCACCTGGCAGACCTTGGCAGGCCAGTGAAAGTCTCGGTGAACCCTCTGCCCACCCAGAGGACCCCCGCAGACCTGCAGGAGCCTCGGCAACTCCTTCCCACCACAAGGGCGAGCTCCGCCTCCACCCAGAGGACCCAAGGCGGGCCTACAAGAGTGCCAGTGAGGCCTCCTCCTACCCGCTGGAACCCACCTGGCCTTCAAGACCCACAGTAACACAGAAGTACCCTGGCTCAGGTCACAGCTGGTCTGGAGGCCTGGAAAGTTCCGAAACAGCAAAAACAAGCTAAGAGCTGGTTCCCATCAGTACCCTGAGGCTAGTTAGCCCAAAAAGAATCCAGAGCTCAGCCCGCTAGCCCAGCAGGAGGACTTCAGAGACTGGTCCCTCCCTCACCCTGTGGGGCCCACAGTAACTCGCTGAAAGCCAGACACACAGTAGGACACTGACTACAATTCACACAGTGGACAGGCCAGACTGGCAAGATTGAGAAGACCAAAATGTGAACCAAAAGCTGGAAAAGACAAAAGGCAAAAGGCCATCTCAGACCTCCAAGCCATCCAGAGCACACACAGGAGACCCCTGCACAGAAGACACTGGAAGACATCACCTGCAACCTCTGCAGCAGAGCAAGGGAGGAAAGGAAACAAGCCATGAGGCTGTGGAGGAAATCACAGCAAAAAATCTCTCAGTTAACAAAGGAAGAACGACTACATCGAGAAATCCACCAACAACAAATGCTGGTAGGACTGTGGGCAAGAAAGAGCCCTGCTCCACTGTTGGTGGGAGCGTAGACTGGTGTGTAAGACCACCATGGAAATCAGTGTGCAGATGCCTCAAAAACTAGCATTTGATCCAGCTATCCCCTTTTAGCTATTTTCCTAGAAGAACTGCAAACATCATACCACAGTGATATATATGTGCACCCATGTTCATAGCAGCACAATTTGTAATCGCCAGAGCTTGGAAACAACCAAAATGCCCATCAACCGCAGAGCGGACGAAAAAGATGAGGCATTTCTATACAATGGAATATTACTCAGCTATAAAAAGGATGATCTTGAGGTGTTTATAGGTAAATGGAGGCAACTGGAGACTATTCTCATAAGTGAAATAAACAAGACTCACATTAGTAAATATCACATTGCCTCTAGTGTAAAAAAATAATAAAAATAAAGAGTGATATCTAAAATGTATAATCGATATTGTAAAAATGAAAGAGAAGGAAAGTACATATATGTGTAAGTGTGTAAGATAGATGATCATTTACTAAGTTTTTGTTGGATCCTTGAACAGAACGGTTTTCACTCTCATTGTTCACTTTTCATGCTTTGGTTTAATAACTTGAACAACAATTTCTAAGAGGACAATATGTAATTTCTCAACTAGTGATTTCTTAGTGCTAATATTTTTTTGGAATTTGGTATTATTTCTACCTTTTTTTCTTTTTCTTTAAATAAAAAGAAAGCCCTCCATACTGCATCCACAAGCCAATATGCAAACAGCTTTAAAATTCTAAAGGCTTCTCGTTACGAAGTTTCCAGCAACCCACTCTGTGACAAAACCTGAACCAAGCAAGTGTGAGGCCACTTACAGTGTTCATTCAACACATTTTATGGAGCAGTCTTGAGTTTCCTGTAGAAATACAAAGACTTTGTTTCATTACAGCATGTTCTTCCAAACATGCTCTCTAAGGGAGGTATCTAAAACACGGAATGCAGATTGTATCCTTTCTGAGGTCTGAGACATCTGTAATTCCAAATCACATCTGGCTTCAAGGGTTTCTGATTATCGATTATGAATCTACATAAACACCTGCTAGAGGAAAAGGAGGACACAATGAGGGGAGATTGGGTAAAACGACATGGCTCCCAGGAGTCTATTTAGGAAACGCTCATCGGAACATGTGTTCCATCAGTAAGAACATTAGATGCGGACTGTGTTGTAGACACTACGTCCCCTTAGTTATAAATTCCGAATTCTCCAGCCACAGCCAGCCGTGGCGTCGGGGTTACTGAGCACTCACCATGCCCGCGATGTGGGCTGATGGAATCAGAACGGTAAGATCACCGTCACTGCTGACGGAGATTTCCTGAGCTCCTCTTTTTATGTTACAATAAAAATGATCATTTGAGATATTCTAATTATAAACAAAGAATAAAATAAAAGAGATAATAGGAAGCAAGGAGATAGATCTCTCTCCTGTGGAGAGGGGACCCAGAGGAGGTGCGAAGCAGGAGGACAAAGGAATGAAAAAGCGATTGAGACGTGCTGTGTCCACGTACAGTCCACACAAGGAACGTGATGACTGCGCCTACACTAATTTTTAAAAAAGTGATCAGCTTAGTTTTTTAATGATTCTTAATTGTTTAATTTTCATAGAAAAAATTGTCTAAAGTGTAAAAAGAAACCGAAGGCAAATAAGGCCTGCTGAGACATTCTCAAACATAGCTGCACATCAGAATCCCTGGGAAGCCTTTGGATTGTTTTATTTCTATATAAGGAATGAAAAGGCCTGAGATCCAGGAAAGCCCAAACAGGGGTGATGAGTCCCCTTCACTGGTCTTGTTTTAATCACATGTGCAAACCACAAAACAGAGTTTCATTTCTGGAAAAAAAACACTATCAGTTTCTCTTTCACACTGATTGTCTGCAACCATAAATTATAAAGCATCTTCCAGGCACCAGTGTCATCTTCTGCGTTCCTGAGACCTGAAGACACTCGTGTTTGTGTACCACTAAA